GTCCATTTTTATAGTCATATAAAGTATTTTTTTTCAGTTTTAGTTTTGGTAACAGCTAAGTAATTATGTTTAAAAAAAAAATTAAAGTATATCAAGAAACTTTGCTACTGATTATGAGTTATTGTACAAGTTGAAAGTGTGGCAAAGGTTAGCAAGAAATATACAGAATTCTGAAAAAGGAAGTCTGTTCATTTTCAAATGTATCAGATTGTGACATATCCCCAAGAGAAAACCAGAGAATATACCAGTATACAAGGAGTTGTCAAATATATATATATAAATGATAGATAAATCAAACGACTAGATATAAGCAAGGGTATATCTGCATGCTGGTGTGCATACATGGTCAAGCAAATAAATAATCATCAAATTTATACATGAGGTGTAAATATAATAGTGCTCAATGTGGTTATACAGAGCAGAGATATATATTAATTAGTACATATACATGTACCTACGTTTTGGTGTGCGACTTAAGTTTCACTGGATTACTAGCTCATTGGTTACAAGATCTATGTTGTTAAAAGTAAACAAATGGACATTTGTTTACTTTTAACAACATAGATCTTGTAACCGATGAGCTAGTAATCCAGTGAAACTTTAGTTGCACACCAAAATGTAGGTACATGTATATGTATTAATTATTACATGTGAGTGTGTGGAGATGAGACAAAGTTGCTGAAAGGATGTTGATTTTGGCTTCTTCAAGTCAAAATGAAATCAACAGCTATTTGAGTCAGAAGCTGAATTCAACAGCAGTTCTGCCAAAACTAAAAGGCATTGTTTATAGCTCTTCCAAGTTTCTCATTATCTCCAGTTTTGTGGGGGTTCTATTATACATCCCACCCATATATATATATATATATATATGAATGTAATGAGAATGAAAATAATATATAAATTCTAATGTTCACAGCATTAATTCAAAAGAGGGCTCAATACAGACAGCAGAGCAATAATTATTTATCATTTTTTCATATAGACAAAAACAATTTACTCACTACAAAGATGCAACCTTGTTTTGGTGCATTTAGTTGCACCTCGACAAGTTACGGACCAAAATGGTTATAATTCTCTTCATTATTCATAATCATTTTGGTTCTCACCAGTTGAGGTGCAACTAAATGCACTGAAAAAGGTTGCATCTTTGTAGTGAGTAAATTGTTTTTGTCTATATGAAGAAATTATATATATATGTAAAGGTTGACACTTGTGTCAACACCTAGTGCTGACAGTCTGCTTCATAAACCCACCTGCTTATATTTATAGCTACTTTATCCCAGATATTGAGCACATTAACCCTATATAAATATAGTATACTTTATGATATATATAAAGTCATTTTGCTATCTAAAAATAGAACAAAAAACAATGCAGAAACAAGTAATTTATGAGAGACTGACTCAGTTTTACTCACAAATTTGTACAAGACAATGTTCTCTATTCATTTCAAGCCAAATAGTCCAGGGGTCAATAATTTGTATGACCTACTTTTTTTTACTGCATGGATTAAGCAGGGTACTGTAGTAGTAAGGAAAAGACTGTCAACTGATAGTAGCAACTGCAATAGATTTCTTCTGTTTCTCGGCCGCAACGCTTGTAGCCAAATCGCAGTTCAAATGATAGTTCGATGTAACAGTCCAACACACAATGTAGAAACGACAAAATGTGGTCACACATCCAACCTTCACTTCTCACCAACACCAACGCGTGTTCGTTCCACCAAGTTCAAAAAAATCATTTCCTTTTATAAGCGAAAAACGACGACTTCTGTTCACCGAGAGAATTTTCTGATTGGTCACGCCATTCAGGGGAGGAAAGAACATTAGCATAGCTTCTAGTCATTGATGTAGATTTTTGCTAACTGCTTTTTGGTAATTTTCCTTTGGCAGATCGCACACAAAACACAAACTTTTTTTTTCGGGGTAACTGATTATCTCTTTCACTACAGGTACATTGAGAATCAGGTTGTTACAGTAGTCAATTGAGATTTCTTTTATCCAGACTTCTTTAATAGCCTCTATCAGTGCTTTGATACTTGAACTGCAATTTTACTTTTGATGGTTTCCCATAAATTTTTAATTGGGTTCAGATCTGGGCTGTTCCCTGACCAGTCCAGTATTGTCATGTTCATCATGTTTAAAAAATTCTGAACTAACTTTGTCTGTTGGCATGGAGTATCATCATGTATAAATAATGTGCATTGATCAATGTGCATATGCAGTTTCTCCTGCAATAGTTTCACATACTTTGCACCATTCTTCATTGTTCTTGAAGGCAAGAAGTAGATTCTAGCCATTCCAGATTTGGACTGGATGCCCCCAAATGATCTGTCTCTTAAACAGTCAATGCATGACTGATAATATTGTATACCAAGCTTGTATACATTCTGGTAACAATGTAAATTTTTATTTTGGTTCCACTGAAAATGCTTGGAAATTTTGTTCCTACTATTATTGAATGAATTTACTATAAAATACATAAAAAGCACCATTCTCTCAAAACATTGCTGGCAATTAAAGAATGGTGGTAATACACCCATTATTACGTAAGATATTGTAGCAAGAGTTAAATCTCACAATGGGTAGTGGGTGTAGAGTGAGTGCTTCATATTCTGAATTGTATACTTTTCATCAAATTGCTTATCAGGAGGTCTTCTTGAAAAATAGATACATCTGAAAACATGACTTTGCTCCCTTCTTCAACTGTCCAAATTCCATGTTGCTTAGCAAATGCCTGATGCTTGGATTTTCTAGATGCAGTTAGCTGTGGTTTATGAGCTGATTGGATGCTTTCAAACCAATCTCAAATGATATAAAACTCTCATAGAACTGACATTTGTAACATTTTGAAGAAGAGCAGCATGTATTTTTACAAAAAAATTGTTGGGGATCATATAGCAATGCACCTCATCAAATAGTCATCTCTAGTACTAATTTTAATTAGTTGTACACTTATCTTGTCACTAAATGTCCCTGAATTTTGAAAATTTATGATAGCAATGTGCACAGCTGATTTTTCTACTTTTACACAAATTTCACATTCAAACTAACCTTAATTATATATCTTAGGTTCTTCATGTAGGTGAAAGTGAGGACTTTTTTTGCTCATATTCTAAGCTTAATTCAGTGGATAAATACTATCACAGTGGCTGCTAATTTGGCAATGTTGAAAAGTATTTTTACAATGAATTATGTATGAATAATAACTGATGTGATAACAAAATTTATTGCATCATGCAATTTCATATGATAAGCAATGCAAAAAATAGAAATAACTTTGTTACAGCTAAGCGGTCTTAATCTTTCGTTAATTATTTTATATATATTTTAATCATTTCACCTCAAAAAACAAATAGCGTGCAAGGGGGTTACTGAGTGTGAGCAAATATGAGAAAAAACTACTATTAAGGAGAGAGGACAATAAAAGAACAAGAATTAAAAAGACTGAAGCTAATGATTGACATTGCATTTAAATTTTTGAAGATCAAAGTTGACTGGGAAGCAAGAAGACAAAAGAGAGTTCCAGAAGTGAGAAGTGCAATAGAAGAAACTGTTAGCATAGAACTTACGGTTGCACATAGCCACTTCAACTATAAAATGATGAGACCTGGCCTATATATAAAAAAGTATCAGGAGTGTTGCTATGGTAACTGAGCTGAAGTACACAGTGAATCTACTGGCACAACTTGACCTTGAATTCTGTCACACTGTTATAGTGTTTCTGCTCAATCCCATTGTTTATAGGACTGCTTGAAAGTAAATCTGGTCATCTCACCACACAACAGATGTTTCATCAGTTACTATAGTAAAGAAAATGGAGAAGAGAATCTGTATTAAATTTTGGTGAAAGCTTGGTGATACCTGCATAGAGACCTATGCAAAGGTGCAGGGACTGTTTGGAAAGGTGTGTATGAGCCAGACATGAGTGTACAAGTGGTTCAGACATATCCAAGATGACTGAAAAAAATGTTGACAGCGACCCACAACCAGCAGAACTGATTGCAGATGTGTGTTGAATCACCAAGTGTGAGTTGTTGGAGAATGTGAACATTAGTTACGGTTCAGTTCAGTCCATTCTCACTGAGGATTTGGGTATAGTTCATGCCAAATCTACTATCAGTTGACCAAAAAGAAAATTGGGTTTCAGCTGTGCAGAATTTCTTTGATTTTATTGGGGAAGATGAAAACTTTTTGAAAACATTCATAAAAGGTGATGAATCATGTGTTTATGGCTATAACTCTGAAATCAAGGCTCAGTTTTTGCACCCCAACCTCTCTGAAACTGAAGTAAAAAAAAAACAAAACAAATGAGCCAAAGCAGTTTAAAGACATTGTTTTTTTCAACTATAAGATCATCGTTCATCATGTGTATGCTCCACCTTGTCAGACAGTAAACATGGTGATGTGTTTCGGCATTATCAGGATGCTGTTCATTGGAAAAAGACAGAATTGCATGTGTCCAGTGAATGACAACTACACCATGACAATGCACTTACCTATTCAGTGCCACTTTTGCAGCAGATTTGGGTCAAGCAGAACATTCCCCAGGCCTGACAGTTACCATATTCCCTAACCCTGCCTCTTGTGACTTTTCTTTCCCACTTGAATGATTTCAAGATGTTGAGAAAATCCAAGAGAATTTGATAAGGCAGCTGCTTGGTATCCCAAAAAAGGAGTTCCAGGAATGCTTCCATCAATGGGAATGACGCTGGATAAAGTGTGTGGCTTCAAAAAGGGAGTACTTTGAAGAAGATCAAATGCTGAATTGATACATCTTGTAGTTTTCTTTTCATATCACCAGGCTCAATACTTTTTGATCAAACCTTGTATGTCTGATATTTTTCAAGAGGCTTGCAACAAACTTTCTTTCTTGATTCAGAATTTGATATATTTCTTTTAAACCTTTGCCACAAGTCCAATTCTTGTAATTCAGAGTTTATCTTATTTTTTTTGTTTTCTTTATTTTATCTGTTTTATTTCCTTTGTTTTCTTTATTTGATGTATCTATCTATCTATCTATCCCAGTCTGTTCATTTATATCGAGGTGTTACAATTAGTGCCTTGGAGGCCAATATGTCCTCCACAGAACGTCTCCATTCTGCCCTGTCCACAGCTGCTGCTCTCACCTCACTCCAGGATCATCAGCCCATCATTTCCTTCTCCACAGTCCTTCACCATGTCATTCTTTGTCTTTCCCTTTTCTCACCCTTAAGGGCCCAGGTCAGTACAACATAAGTTTCCCTGTGTATACCACATGTAAATATATGATCAAAAATGTGAGAGAGAGAATAAAGGAATGTCAAAAACAAAGAGAAACAAGAAAAAGTGATTGAATGTGAGAAAGAGAAAACAAATTGAGAGAGATTAGAAGAAAGAGTTACAGAGGGTAAAAAGAGTGAACAAGATTCAGAATATAGAGATAAATAAGGAGAATAAAAGGGTGTGGCTGCTGCTGCTGCTTCAGAATGCAACTTTAGATGTTTATTGATAACTTGTTGAAGGAAAAGTTTAATCTTCACCTTTTGGGCAATTCTTCTTCAACATTTGCTAAATTGAATTTATTCATCTGTGAGATTTTTTTGTTTTTTTTTAATCATTTCACCCCAAGCAAGGTGGGAATGCCACTAGTACACAAGAGGTTACAGAGAGTGAAAGTAAGAGAAAAAGCTGTGTATAGAGGTGAATGGGTTTCAAGAAGATAGAAAATGGCAATTGACATTGAGTTGCATGCAACATGAGAGTGGGTTTCAGGTTCATATCCATGTTAATGAATTATCATTAGAATCTCATTACAACTAGAAATTCAAAAAAACATTAGTAAACAGAAATTGTAATTTGAAAGAAAAGACCTGACAAAATGGCTATTGAAAAATAGGATTCTGAATAAATACTTAGTTGTCATTGGTTAAATCATTCCACATAGCTATTTATTTTTAATCATTTGTTGTAATGGAATGTCCCACACTCCCTATCACTTATGTGGACTGATTATATCAGTAGATATATAGTGATTTTCCAAGTGTAACTTGGATGTGGCACAAGGCCGAAAGTAAGGGGCACCCAGTGAGGATTGAACTCACTACTCAGTCGTAATTGTTCTAGCGAGACAAACTTGCTAACCATTACACCACCTCGGGGTGCCCATATCAGTAGATATATATAGTAAGCACAGGATATACCTGGAAGACTTGCTTCAGGAATTACTAGCTTGCTGACCGATTCCTGTCTTTCAGTAGTTTATTCTCTTTTATAATATTCTCTTTCTTTCATCTATGCACATGTTGCTGTTCCTTTAACTTGAATACCACTTTTGTCTGTTTGTAACCTCTTTAAGTATACATCATTTCACCCCAAGCAAGACAACAGAGCCACTAACACAGACAGGGTTACTGAGTGTGAAAGAATATAAGAAAAACATTAAACAGAAATCAAGAAAACAAAAAAATAATAATTAATATTGCATTCAAAATTTTTGAAGATCAAACTTGATTGGATAGCAATATGCCAGAATATTGTTACACAAGTGAGGAATGCAATAAAAGAAAATGTTAGCATAGAACTTACAGTTGCATCTAGGAATTTTGATGAGCTCTTCCCACCTGCATTCTAATAATGCAGTTAAATTCATAGAATGTAGGTATCATAGAGCAGAGTTCATCAGAACATTTACCATGAAAGTATTTATAGAAAAGGCATAGGCAAACTATGTTATGGCAGTGGGAAAGTGACTGAAGCTAGATCAAGACCGACAACATTGCAGATTCTTCATCGGATTTTATCAAGAATCTTTAAATATATAGCAGGAGCACCGGACCATATGTGGCAGCAATATTCTAAGCATCAATGAATGGTAGACTTATAAATATGTAAGATAGATTCTGGAGAGAAAAATTATCTTGCATAACACAGTGAACCAATTTTCTTAGCAGCTCACCTAGCAATGGATTTCAATCTTTTTACTTCATGTCAGTGGAAACATTATCCTGAGAAGGCACTGGAAGCTAGCATCAACCATACTGATGGAAGGCAGAAAGGGTTCTCTCGAGTGATTAATAGAAAGCAGTTTTATGTTGCAGGTGTTAAAATTAACCAGCCATTCTTTGCTAACGATAGTATACCATTTATGAGATCAGCTGCAAATTTATTAGAGATTTTACATTTTTTGATTTTCTCTCAGAAGGAACAAATTGATTTTGTGTGTGTGTGTGTGTGTGTCTCTCTCTCTCTCATATATGTTTGCTGGATGACCCTATGTCTGGCAACAGGACTCTGCACCATGACACACAAGCAGAATCCAGTCATGGCTGCCAAACAATTTTTGCAGCAACATCACCCCTTACAACTTGCCACCTAACTCCCCAGACTGCAACGCCCTTGATTATTATGTGCAGGACACAGTTGAGTAAGAGACCAACAAACTCATTGTAACACCAAAGATAGAACTGAAGGCAAGGATTATGGCAGCATTCTTCAACTTAAACAAGGAGACTGTCCAGAAGAGTTACAGGTGATTCCAAAGTCGTCTTGAGGCTGTAGTTGAAGCCAATGGCAATTTTATTGAATAAATTTAATTTTTAGTACTTCAAGATATTTTTGTGTAATTTTGGTAAATATATCTGATAAAATGAGATGTCAGTGTTATTTTCATTTTTGTGTAATTTAGATGAAAATTTATTCATCACAACCTGTATGCATATAAAATATCAATGAGGTATAAAATAATTGCACCTTGTAAAAATGTTCATTGTTTGAACAAATAGAGGGATCTGAGATTTTATATATATATATAAACAAAGTGGACAGAGTAATCAACACTGAATGGTGATTGTCAGTTTCATGCCCCTGCATTCTCTGAAGATATCTTGAAATGTGAAACTAACAGTCACCATACAGTGTTGTTCACTGTATCTTCATTGTCAGTATCTACAAATTATCTATCTTCAATATTGTAAGATATTCCACCAAAAATATAACAAACTTTATGCATTACATACATAAAAACAGACACACACACACACACATATATATATATATATATATATATATATATATATACACACACATATACATGTATATAAAACATCAGTTAAATAATGGATTTTTATTTATATATATATATATATATATATATATATATATATATATATATATATATATATATATATATATATAGTAAAGGTAAAATAAATTTCATGGATGTATACTCCAAGTGGGTCCTAGTAATATGAAAATAGTAAAATTGATCCCAAAAAAGAGAGAGCAATATGATGAATAATCAAAAAACATTCCATTCCATATTGGGGTTGAAAAGACAACCACTTTTATGATCTGCCAAAATAGCCTATTCCCAAAATGAGGTAAAAAAATTTTTTTTTGATTAATCATATATATATATATATATATATATATATTATATTTTTCCCTCACAACTCTGAGTTTCATGCATAATGCAATCATAAGGTGCTGATTGTTTAATTAACACCAGCACTCAACGTGCAATACTTTATATATATATATATATATATATATATATATATACATACAGACACACACATACACATTTAAATTCTGAAAATCATGAATATATATGACAAAATGAAAAAAAAATTCATGTTGACATGTTTCACTGATCAAAAGAAAAGAATATAGAAGCATAAAAGTGACCTGAAATGAAACAATACAGTCAGTGCACTTGTCTGACACTAAAACTTTCATGATCACTATTTTGTTATGAAAAATACAGTTTTAATAGAAAAAAATGAATATAATTTACTCAAAAAATCATTGAAAGTGCCATAATCTACGAATACCCTGTGGTTAATATAGGATGAGGCTACTTTAGTTTATCACCTGTTTTTACTAAACCTTTGTTGAAATAATGTCAGATACAAAAACCTTACAACAAACAAAAATGGAGCTGAAATCAGTAAAATCTATTTTAAAACTAATACAAAGTGCCCCAAAAATTACACAAAAATTCAAGTGGTCACATGATTAACAGGAATCACAATATGTCAGGATTTTATATATTAGTTGAAATAAAATCTATATTTTCTGATAGAATTGTTTTAATTTTTTTGTTCTTTTCCATCACCTGAGGATTATGTGACCACCTGAAAATCACAAGGGCATATGAAACTGCCAGCCACAGGAATAGTAGAAAATTAAGTAAATTATCTTTTTAATACTGTGTGTGTGTGTGTGTGTGTAATATATATATATATATATATTTCCTCTTTTTCCCTTCCTAGTTTTGTTTACCTATCTTTTATCTTCCAATCTATCTCTTTCAACTCTTCCTGCCCCCAATTTAAACCTGCCTCCTCAAACAAATGTGTGCATAAATTAAAAATAATAATATGTAAATCTTTTTATGCCTGGAAAATTTGTCACCCATTTATTTGTATGGAAATGGTTGATCTGAAGAATTAGGATCAAAATCTTGGCCCTAAGGAAATAAATTCTAATCATCTAACCCTAAAATTGTTTGTTTTTTAATAATAATTAATGTTTGCTCTGTTCTTACATTGAGCTCTTTGGATTATATCCTCTTTGGAATTATCTATACAGAAGATTACCAAACAATATCATTAACTATATATATATATATATATATATATATATATATATATATAGTTTCAAACATTATTTTTAGTAGGTACCCATATTTGAAATACATGCCCCATTTTTATTTTAAACTGTGTTTTACATTTATCAGTCTGCACACATAAGAAAACTTAATGAAGAAAATATGCTGCCCAGCAGGGGAACAACCTGCATCCCCCCTTTTAAAAGAAACCACAGTTTGATTTAGTGTGCCTTAGACCACTCAGCCACAGAAAGCAAGCAGACCAGCAAAGTTTTATTTCTTTTTTAAAGAAAACACATTTTCTTGTTTAGATTTTTCTTTAAAGTTCATACTGCCCAGTTTCATATCTAAAATATAAACAAAGCAACTTCTTTGTTGATTTATTTTTAATCTAATATTTTATTACTTCAAATGTTATTATAGTCAATACCTGTATTTGAAATAAATACCCTGTTTTTATTTTAAACTGTGTATTACATCTCTTGGCCTATATCCTGGAGAAAAATTAATAAAAAAAATGTGCACAGGGTTCAAATTTATATGTTATTTACTGTACCTATGAATACTATTGGAGATGTCCAATCCTCATAAATACATTGGACACTATTGTAAATGGGGGTAATATACTGTT